AATATCGGCATATCGGATATCAGCCAAAATCCCAATATCGTGCATCCCTATTCTAGTGATATTTTATAGCTTGAAAAGTAGAACATGAACGTCTCTCTTGAAACCAAAAATATTTTTTTATGGAACCATGAGCTCTTCATCTGTAATATTTTCATCATTTTTCTTGCTTTCAGTCATTGGAACTTGTCCAGCCAGCCGCTACAAAGAGGGGTGTTGATTATCGGCTACTTCAAGCTTCCCTTTGATTGAAAAAACCTCTGGTTTATAACCAGGGGTGAAAGTTGTTCTAAAGTCTTGCCGTTACGCTGGAAGACCGACAAGCTGTTTTAAGCTGGCAAAGTTTTAAGCTGGCCGATATCAAAGGCTTGAGCTCCAAGAGCAAAGAAAATAGCTTTTGACACCATTTATTATTATAATAAAATAATAATTTCTAAACAGATTGTTTGGTCTTTTAGACTACCTTTTGCTAGAGGATCTGTTTGGACCCAAAGTGAGGACTGTGTACTAGCTAACGTCCATCCCTGTTTATAGCATAAGGAAGAAGAAATATTAACCTTTCTTTTTTTTTACCTTTGTAGTAATAAATGAAATTTTGTAATCGTCACCTCATCAAGCAGGAATTAGAGCAGCCTTTACAGTATGAGGAATGGTTTCTGAGAGAAACGTATGTAAAGCTAAAACGCCCTGACGGCTGTGCTGCTTCTCACCTCAGCACCGTTCCCCTGGGTCCCGACCAGATCTTGCTGAGAGGAGCCCAGCTGAGGAACACACAGTGGGTCCATGGTGTGGTGGTCTACACGGGACATGACACTAAACTTATGCAGGTAAAGGCATCCTTTATAGGTCATAATGTAGTGTGTTGTTCACTCAGGTTTTCAAGCTAAACATAAACTTAAATGATTGATCTAAATGCGGCTTGATCAGTTTCATTCTGTAAAATGCTGTATCTTGTTACAGCAAAACCAAATCGTCTCCTACCTGTTATAAAATGCTTTGTTTTAATCTGTTGCTCAGAACTCCACACGGCCTCCTCTGAAGCTCTCCAACGTTGAGCGGATTACCAACTTTCAGATCCTCGTGCTGTTCGGCTGCCTGCTGGCCATCTCCCTCATCTGCTCCATCGGTCAAACCATCTGGAAGTACCAGTACGGCGACGAAGCCTGGTACATGGATCTGAACTGTAAGAGTCAGGGCAGCCGTGGCTGCACATCTTATTTCCACATATTGTGTCTCACTTGTTCATGTCGGCCTTTTTCCTTTTGCCATTTTTAAGTTCCTTACCAGCTAGTGAGCCTTGTCTTTGTTTTTTTTTCTGTTTGCTTTAGTTATTTACATTTTTGTACAACAAGTGAAATATGTGGCAATGTGGGAATAAGTAAACTGAGGAAACCTTGTGATGTGGATGAATGTCATTGAAACAGAAATGGTTGAATATCACTGCGCTGCTGTACTTTTTGGTTTCCTTTCTAATGTTCTGTTTGATTTTTTGTTTTCTTTGTTGTCGTTTTTTAACAGCTCCAGGTAACAACCATTTAAAAGCCTTGGCCATCCGTGAATGACCCTCCCTTACTAACCCCTTACTGAAGCTCTGCCTTTGCTAAGCAAATGAAGCCCCCTACCCTCGCCCCCTAAATGGTTGCCCCTCTTTGTATGGGCCCATGCCATGGACAAGCACAAACCAGGGATCCAACAATAGGTTTTTCCCCTCCAGCTCTCTTATACCTTCGTCCAGTTATTTTCAGTGCCTGATGCAAACTGTTTCACTTCTCTTCCTTTGTTTTTCTTCCTTTTTCTCTGTATTCATGTCACGTTAAACTCTTTGCTGTTTCCAGCTTCAGACCTTTTGTTGTTACTTCCTTTAATTTGTCTCCCAAGAAGTGAAATGCAGCATTTCTTTTAAAACTGCGAGTGAGAGGAGATGGTGCTCAGGAGGATTTTTCATGGCAGGAAGCTTATCCGTGTTCGCAGCTTGAACATAACGTGTTGCAACCCAAGGGGCAAGTGCTGACATTTTCCAAACGCCTCTGCTGCCCTCTCACTCCTATTTTAGTTTTTTAAGGTGGATGAAAAGATGAGGACAGCTGGAGAAATCCTGCTTGACTTCAGAGCACTGCAGAAGTATTCATACTCCTCGATTTTCCACTATCTGTCACATTACAATCACAATCTGTCACTCATTTAGATATCATAGCCCCATTTACACTGCCCTTTTGAAACTGTGCCAAAATCGGTCCAAGCACGGTAACCAAGATAACTATTAAGTGTAAACAGCATGCAAGGCTGAGCTGGACTGTGCCAGAGACAACCGAACTGTGCTAAACTGGTACCAGTTCCTCAATAGGCCTCCGCGCAGTTCAGTTGTGGTTTGGTTCCCAGATAACAAAGAGCGCAGGAGCAGATCACATCATCTCCTTACAGTCAGCCTCCGTAATCATGCAATTTCAGACATTCATAAAAATACTAGCTTCCCTACTGTGCTATACCATTTGCAGTGATGATTCAATGTTTGTCATTGTTTCCTGCGTCTGTAAGCCCTGATTAGTCTATCGTTTGTTGTATCCACTTCCCAAAAGCCGAATCTTCCAAGTAAATTCACCAAAGGTTGCATTCTTCGCCTCACTCTCTGCAAACAAGCAAGTATCACAGTTATAACCAAGCTTCCTGAATGTTACGGGCTCTGCCATGTTTGTTTGCTTGTTTCCCTCTAGAGAGCAGTAGTAACGTAGATCATCACTAGGAGGCGAGGAACCGCGCTAGAGTGGTGTATAAACAGTCGTAAGGAACTGAACTCGGAACGGTTAACTGATCCAAGCTCGGTCCAAACATGGCACTGATTTCTTTTCAAAGGGAAGTGTAAATGGGGCTTATATGTACACTTATGAAGCTAAATGATTACTATATATGGTGTACAAATCTATTAACAAATAGAGTTGCTTGATTGTGGAAAAATCAAGATCGATATGATTATTCTTTAAGATGGGAAAAATAAAAAGTGAGAAAATTGCCTTAAGACAAAAATTTCTTTTAATCGCAGGCAGAATCGCTGTCCAATCAAAAAAGCAGCTAATAGAGGGACGATTACCCTGGATGCACATATTCAAGGCTCAGCCCAGCGTACAAGTCACCACAAAAACTTTTACTCATGGAAAACATCTGGTTCAGACCCAGAATGTCAAGATTTTAATTTGTAAAGCATGAAAACTATTTCTCCTCAGTTTTTTTGTCATAAGCCCCTTTGTGTCGGACTGCCGTTTAGCTTTATAATATAATGCGGTAAAGGTTGTGGTGTTAATGTGAACAAGCACGGTGGTGATGAAAACCTTTCCAGGGCTCTGTGTTTAATCCTCCAGCTTTTTGAATGAGTTGATGCTCTGTTGGGATGAAGCTCTGAACCTGGGACACAAAGTGCTTATCGTGACTTCTGCCATTTTGACGGGCCTTCCTTGGACCGGTTGTTCCTCCGGCCAACTCAAACTTGCATTACAACTTTGCATTCCCCTTTTATCTCTCCCAATGTTGGTTGTTGTTCTGTTGACTTCATAAAGGTTTTTACACTGTCCCCATGGACATTAAATCCTTCATCTAAAGTATCAGTCATTGGAGATGGAGGGAGTGGAAGTTGTAAAGCAAGTATCCATCTTTAAATAATTTTACTTCCATAAGGAGCTGTTGAGGCTCTGTCCAGTGCATATTATCCAACCTGTGACAAAAGAGAGGTGCAGAGATTGTCCTCTAATATGAATCAGTTCATCCACACCTCTGTAATGAATGCAGATAAAAATACAGTGTCAGTGCATCACTGACACCAACCTCTGCTCATGCATTCTGATGGAGTTAATAGATAAATTTGACCTAAACATGTTAAAAAGTGCTGACACTAGTAGTTGCATTTGATTGGGTTAATACATGCTGACAACTGGGGCTGCTATGTAGTATAAATATTCATGGCCGTTCTTTCTGCTTTGGGCAGTAATCCTGGAGGTTAAAGGCTAATGAAGCTTTTTTGTTGTATGTTTTAATAATTATAGATTGGAACGTCAGGAGATCTTAATCCCTACAATAACTAGAAAATCAGCTTGTCTAAATGAAATAAAATTTTAATAATTACTTCTAGTTTTAAATGTATTAAAAACACATAAAATATGAATTCATCTTGCTCCATTTTTCCCATTGTTTTCAACAAAACGACGATGCTAGAAGACATTTACCCCATATCTCTCGTCCCCTTTCCACTACGGCTGCTTTAGACTTTTTATATTTGACCCTTTAATTTGTTTAGGCTCCTTTTTGTTTTCATTTCCATCGTTTGGTCTGAAACCCAGGCCTTTAATTTAATTACATTCTCTGATTAAGTGCGACTTCTCCTTCGGCCAGAGTGTCTCTGCCTTCCTGGGCCACAGATCTCCACCCTCTGCAACAGCTCTGTCCAGAATCATACATAATAAAAATGCAATGGAAGACCGTGACAGTATTACCTTTAAATTGTTTTATAGCGGTTATACTTAAAAAGCCACCTGCTGCCTCTCTGCTTATTGAAATCTATTGGAAGACTGGATTTTAAATAAGCTTCCAACATTTCTTTAGAACACTAACACATGATATGCAATGTTTAAAGTAGTGAAATACCAGGAATCTTTTAGAGTTGTAATAATTTATAAATAACTGTAAAATATTGTAACTATGCCTGAAAGGAGCTTCATTTTTCTCCTTTTCTGTTAAAGATGCTGACAGTGGAAATCTGTGCTTTCTGTAATGAAGGGTTTCCACTAAGGCTACTGGATTTCAACCATTTGTTTCAAGGGAAAATGCTGTAAAACTCTGATACTGAGCGTCAGCAGCGGTTTTTTAATGTTGTTTTCAACAAAAATTCAAAACTCCACGGAGGAAACTTAGTAAGTAAGTAGTCATGCAATAACTCTGTCAGAGGGTGAGATTTCTTAGAGTAAATGCTGGGATGCTAAGCCAGTGAGAAATGTTTGCCATGCTCCTGCTATGAAGCCTTTCAGGGCTCCTATTTGGGCCTTTTTTTCCCTAGAAGGACATTTTTATAAAGTTGGGGGAATATCTGGACCTTATATGTCCATCTCCATTACCAACAAATGTTATTTCTTTTTTGTGAAATTAGAAATATATCCGTGCACAATTTAATGTTGACTGTGCCGTTTCAAACCTTTAGAAGACTTTGCAGATCGTTTTTACGCTTCAGTAAATTGTAACTAACCATTTGAAGGAAGAACTATTGCTGGATATTAAGGATATGTGCATTTGGCCCAGTTCTACTTTCAACTCGATTTGCATCAGTTGAATATTTGAAGTTTCTTACTTTTATTTATATTAAAACATTTGACCATTGTGTCAGATAATATAATTACACTCTGGTGATAAATAAGAAATCAATTATAATTTGCATTTATTGGATTTGCTTTTGCATGTCCCAGTTTACTGGTTTTATTTATTTATTCTAACTTTAAGCCTCGTCTCAATCCAATATTACTTTGCCATCTAATGCCAAACCTATTGCCAACATTCCTCTCTGTCATATAATATAAAGCCTGGTGGTTTGAATAACTGAAAATAGAAGATGTTAGGATGACAATGATACAATCCACCCTCTCTTTTCCACTTTTTGCCAGTTGAAAATGTGCTGTGGACTGAATCTCCCTCCTTTGTCTTGAGAGCATCCCCCCTCACTTCTAAAAACAGAAAGCATTTTTTTCCCTCCTCTGTGTGTTTTTAGCTGTAGCCTACCATTCTGCCACCTCTTTTGTGTTGTGTATTTTCCTTTGCTTCTGAAATCATTCTGTCATGGGGAAGGGCTGGCCATCTCAATCGCAAAGCTAAGCTCAAGGCTTGGGTTGAGGAAGGTAACATTTGCATCTCCTGCAAGCTGAGGAAAGGTAAATCACATCCCTCCTGTTTTCATGTTTGGTGTCAGTGGGGTTTAAATGTTGATCATTTGGGGCTTTTTGCTGGGACCAATATCATTTCTTGCATAGTGCTTTGTAGAATTCATTGCCTGGATCATGCTGGATGCCAAGGCTTAAATCTTTGGGACTTTGAATTGGATTGCTAATCGGTTAAGAAAAAACAAGGAGGTTGGGTGGAAGAAAAGGCTACATCCAGCTAATGCACAACATTTGTCCAAAAATTGATTGCCTGAATGTTGACCCTCAGCTGGAAGTAGCCTTTTGGCATTTTGATTTGACTAACAGGCATTACCAAGCAAACACTGATGTATTTTCCCATGTTTCATTGCGTCTTTTTTTCTTTTTTGTTTTTCCTTCCCTAAACGTTTCCCCTTACAGACGGCGGGGCTGCAAACTTTGGCCTCAACTTCCTTACCTTCATTATCCTTTTCAACAATCTGATACCAATAAGCCTACTGGTCACACTGGAGGTTATCAAATTCATACAAGCCTTTTTCATCAACTGGGTGAGTAAAGACAGTGTCAGGTTTTGCTGTCGTTCTAATTTCAGTGTAAACATGAATTCAGACAACAGGATGGGAATTTTGCATGCTTCAAATAACTAAAGGCTTTCACCATCTACTAGGGCTGGGTAAAAAAATCGATTTAATCGATTTTGAATCGATTCCTTTACATTTTTGCAAAATCGATGTCTAGGGAATGAGATCGATTAGTTTTATAGTGACGTACGTGACATTCACATTCAAATGAGCAGGAAAGATGCATTCAAAATACTTAAGTTGATTGAAGACATTAACAAATGGGGGCTGACCAGCAAAAACCCTGTAGTTGTTACAGACCACGCTGCAAATATGGTTTGTGCATTGAAGATAATGCAGCTCATGCATGTCTGCTGTGTCCCCGCTGTGCCACGTCTGCTTGCTCAAGTGAGGCCTTTTCATAAACAAGTTTGCACTTTTGAGACAGTTTTGTTCACATCTCAAGTTTAAACAGTCCAATTTACAAGTTTGCACTTTGTGTTTAATATGACAGGAAAAAATAAAATACATGGGTGTTTTTGAAACACAGTTGAACCACTTTCATTATTGTAAAAACAGATCGAATCGAAATGAATCAATTTAGAACTGTATGAATCAAAATCGAATCGATTCAGGACTTTGGCAAAAATACCCAGCCCTACTATCTACCACATTTATCATTATGTAAATATGGAAGTACAGCTTAATGCAACTTTTCTTTGTTTTTTTGAAAAAAATTAATGTAGTTTAGAAATTAAAGCTTTATGTTGTTCACTGATAAAATCCAGCCATCAGGTCTATCTTCCATCAGATGCTGGACTAAAAGAGGAGAGAATATTTAACTGAGATTTGTCCTTGAAAAGCCTGGAGAATAAGTTTACCTTCAAGTAGCCCTAGCCCCACAGCCCCAATAATCCCCGCATATTTATGTCCTTCAATGGCTCAGCCTTATGAAGGACTAACTCTGCCATATTTAAAAATAAATACAGAAATAAATAAATGCTCAATAAATGTATAAGCATACAATTAATTGCCAACAAAAAAGTGAGACATAAATGTATATAACTCTTAATTAGCTTCTTTATTTATTTGCCTTTGTAATATTTACCTTATTTATTTTTCTGTCCTGTATAATCTTCAACTTTATTTTTTAAAAGTGAGACATAAATGTATATAACTCTTAATTAGCTTCTTTATTTATTTGCCTTTGTAATATTTACCTTATTTATTTTTCTGTCCTGTATAATCTT